TGTAGATTTTGTTGTTTCAGCTTATTTTGTGGTTTTTTAAGCGCATGGCTTTCCTTTAGTTAGGTTATTTGGATTTTCATACTTTTTTGTTTCTTTTAGTGCGGAGCTTGGCAAATTTAAATTAAAACTTCGGCACTTTGCATTTCATCCTTGACTTTATGACTTGGGTTAACATGGCAATGAAAGTTCTCTCCCCTCCTGTTTTTGCTGGGGTTTGTATGTGAAACTTTGTGTCGACATTGTGGTTGTAAAGCGTCAAACGCTTAAAACTTAAATCAGTTTTTTATTTTTATTTTTATTTTTTTATTATTGTAAGCAATGGCTGCCAGCCACACGGCTGAAACGTCGCCGTCGTTATCGCTTAAGTTTCAAGACTCAGAATTTACAAATTGGCTAACACCGCGCTTATTCCCACTTCGAATCTCCTTCATTTCTTAAATTGCCAACGCGTTTTGCATTCACATGAATTGTTTCAAAATTTTGAATATTTTATTTTTTCCCAACCAGTTCTCTTGTGCCTGAAATTTCGGGAGTGCTCTTCGTCCTGTCGCTGAAATGTAAAATGCTTCTTTGAATATTTTATACATTTTTCATTCGCGCGTTATATCGCAAAATAATTTTCCACACATTCCTGGCGCAACTTTGACATTGAAGCGAGCTTCAATGTGAGCGCATGTGTGAGTGGGTGCGTGGGCGCGCGTGTATTTGTGTGTGCGTGTGTATGTGTTAAACATCTGAAGCACGTCTGCCTCTTCTAAGGGGGCCACCGACATTATCATGCTATGGCGCTGGACCTGCTGCGGGCTCCTGCAATTGCATGCCTTGGCCTTTAGCACCCGTTTGCCAGTAAATTTGCATATGTGTGTGCGTTGTATTATGACGTGTGAGCGGTTGCGTATGTATGTATGTGTGTGTTGGTATTCATTTTGTGTTGAAATTTATGCAATGGCTTAAATAAGCGCAAAAATGGCATTTTACTCTTGGCAAGTGACAAAAATGTGTGCGTTTAGTAAAAATAATTATGCAACAGACATTTTTCAGAGCAATTTTTTCCTGGGCTTCTTTTTTTATTTTGGCTAAAGGTGCCACCAAGGAGCGGAAGAGCAAATTTTAGGGGCAGCGTTTTAAGTATTTTATGTCAAGTGAAACTTTGTGCACCACAAAGTGCTTTTCTAAACATTTGCAGATGGCCCTCGGGACTGCTGCAGCAAGTTCAGTGTGTTTACGTGCATGTTTGCATTGAGTTGTTCTTAGCACAGCTTTTGGTTGGGCATTACAAGGTGAGGTCGATGTGTAGACCACATTTAGTTTGTTGACAAAACAACTCGACTGGACAAGGCCACGAGTTAGATCTCTGGAGCAAGTTGTTTAAAAATAGCAAATGCTTCAAATTCTTCTGCGACGATGCGTATATTTTATGTAGCATATGCAAAGTAATCGCTAACAATGTTGTCTTTGGGTTTCAATTTTCACTCATACTCGCGCACACACACACACACACACACACACACAGACACACACATTTTTTGCGATTTTCCGTTTACCTGTTTATGCAAAATCAATAAACAGCTTGCGACAAGTGTCAAAAGCAAGCTCAGAAAAAAATGGTTTGCATGTCAAAGAGGTTAGCACCTAGCAACAAGATGATACGCTGTCAGCAAGGCCAAGAGCAAGAGCCAAGGTGAAAGCAACTGAAAAAAATTGACAAAGTTAAGTTTTGAAGGGTTCAAAGCTCAGGCAAAGAGAGCTTAGCAGGGAAAGGTAGAGCAACACATCAAAAATCAATTTCCTGCTAGAGCAAATGAAAAGCGAAAACTTTTGATATTAGTCGGCCAAAGTGAAAGTCAGGCTGGGCCAAGAAACTTGAAAGTTGGCCACAACTTTCACCTGTCACTGCTGCGTTGGCAATAAAAACGATCGCAGTCAAAGCCAAATCCGCTGCCACAATCAGACAAACAATCAATAGTTTGATTAGCTCCGGGTGCCACGTGTTGACGCTCAAAACAACAACAACAACAACAACAGTAGCAGTGGCAACGAGAACTACAGGAAAGAATCAGCTCTAAGCCAAAAAGTTTTGACAGCAAAAAACTTTTAACTGTTGCTTATCTGTGAGCGCCCCGAAACATGGTGCAGCAGCAGCATCAGTAGCAGTAGCAGCGCCAGCAGCAGCAGCACAACAGAGGCAGTTGCCCGCAGGCATTTAGATGGCATTTATTTGAGCAGATACATATAGTAGCTGTAGTATGTGTATTTATGTGTATGTACAAACACAGCTGAGAGTCAAATGGCAGAAATATGCACATAAATTTCAAAGAATTAAGTGCAAAAAATAAAAACTTGCAAATGCGCACAGATAACCAAATGCAGATACAGCAAAACAATGGCAACAACAACATCAACAGCAACAACAACAACAATTACAGCAAAAACATCCTCATCAAGGAGCAGCAACGGCAGCAGCAGCACTGAGATATATTTAATAAAATTAAACAAATTGCAGGGCCCTCTACCTTGCGGCCTTCTGATGCTGCTGCTGCTGCTGTCAAGCCGAGTCTTGAATTATTGTCAACGAGCGACAAACTTTTATGTTTTTTTTTTTTTACAAATCCCTCGACTGCCACGCCTCCTGCTTGCAGCCAAATACAAATGAGTTGTCTGGGGCGGGGGGCGCAAAGCAAACGACAATTCATGTAAATTGCTTAATTTATTAGACTTTTTGCTGGGTCGGGCGGGCAAAAGCAAATCTCCGTACGCCCACTCCTAAAGGGCGCCTCGCACATCCGGCTGAGCCATGTGGCTTCTTGCCTTTGACTGTGTCGCGACTTTGGCTTAAGTATTTCATAGCTTGATATTGTTGTTGTTGTTGTTGTTGTTGCTGTTGCATGGCTGGGCTTTTCTATTTGCACGCTGTAACAATTTTGCGCTCGGGCTTTGACAGGCTTTTGTTTTATTTGTCGGTACAAAAGTTTTGCCAGCCATTTTCTTGACGCTGCTTTATTTTCTTTCCCCGTTTGCCAACATTTCAACGTTCTTCTTCTTTGTGCTGTTCTGCGAATTTGTTATCTTAATTCTTGTCATTTAAAAAATCTGCCACCATTTGTTTTTAAATAAAACTCAAGGCAATTGAATTTGTTAACGCAAAGTTTTTTTCCTTTTTTTTTTTGCCAACTTTATTGTGTCATTTTTGTTACTCTTAATATGCTGGAAAACAGACGGACATATATATGACAGCCAGGCGAGAGTTTCGTGTTACGCATACGCCCCGATGCCGTTAGAAACGTGTGGAAAATGGGCAACTGGCACGTAACGAAAGCAACGCACGGTAAGTTAAGGTAAGCAATTCTTATATGACGCCCTCCACCCCCAGTTCTGTCGTCGTCAGCTTAATGGCAGCATTCATACAAATCACGGCTGCCTGCGCCGGAGCTTGGCTGCCATTGCACTTTTCACTGTTGTTACTGCCACTGCCACTGCTGCTGCCACTGTTGTTTCCTTTCTTTTTATTATTCTGTTTTTTTTTTTTTTTGGTAGTGGCATGAATAATATGTACACGGAGAAATTCCATAAAATGCAAGTAAAAAAGGGAAAAGCAGCTCGAGTAAAGTGCAAGCAATGCGCGCCAAGCCATATACACCCACCAACACCCGAATCGGACAAGCCGTACACACACACACTCTCACACACGCACACTGACACATGCACGTTGTGGTAAGGCACGAGTAGCCAAAAAACTAGGTTATAAGTTGCAACTTGAAACTTGACGGCGTTACTTTTGCTGCCGGCAGCTGCAACTGCAACTGCTGCTGGTGGTGCTGTTGCTGTTGCCCTCAAGTTAAAGCAAAATAAAATAAATATGCAACATACCAGAAATGTTGGTGAACTTCCTGCTAGAGCTACGTTCAGTAGCAGCACTTAGACACACACACACACACAGAAAACAGTTGGGCAAGCCACAATGCCGGCTATCACTGGACAAGTATCATGTAGTATCGCGTCATTTGGCACTCGGACTTGGCTGCTGAGCCGGCTAAGTGCACACCAGAAACTGGCCCGAACTGCTCCACTTTGTTGGTTGCTGGCAACTGCCAAGCCGCCGTCGTTGCAAAGCCGATGCGGCGAAATGGCAGCCGAAGGATTTGCTCTGAATTCGCCTTTAATTGCCAGCGTTCGCTTGCGAAATTCGAAAAGCGAGAGAGCATCAGGATGCGGAAAGAGAGAATTAGAAAAAGAGAAAAGGCATTCGCCGTGTGGGCGCTCTTTTGGATTGTATAACAGTTTGTCGACATGCAGTGCTCCATTTTTCTGATATCCTGGTGTGGGTGTGGGTGTGTGTGTATGTGCGTTTGTGCGTGTGGTTATGTGTGTGTTTGAGCATTTGATTGTGTGGGTGTGTGAAATTGTGTCATTAGGTGCATTTGTTTTCGTTGTGCTTCCCCATATTCCCCGTGTTGCTGTTGTTGTTGTTGTTTTTGCTGCCGCTGATGTTTGTGATGCTTCTTTTTCATGCCGTGTCACTTTTAGCTAAACTTTGTCTGTGTGTGTGCGTAGGTGTGAGTGCTTTGCCCGTCAACGGGGCGCCGCTCATTCTCGTCTAACTAAATGCCAACAATTATGTTTCGGAGTCTCATTAGTTGCAACTTAAAGTCTTCTAAAGCGTCAACTAGCGGCTACTGGGGCTGTGGCTGCGCGGGGGATGCTCTGTGTAAATGATGCCGTTAATGATGTAAGTGCAAGCGAGTCAAGCACCTTCTTTTTAGGTCGAGTTTGTGTGTCAGGTTTATGAGATTGTTAATTGGTATTAGCTGCAGTCACGCCCTTTTTCGCATACATGTCCACATATATGCATATGTACTTTTATCGTTTGGACCGTGTGCTCAAAACCCAAATGGATTTGACAATGCAGCAGGCACAGAGACTTAAACAAAGCAGTCATAAAATGGCACAACTAATCACGCTGACGTTGACAGAAAAGCAGAGACAAAAAAAAAACCAAAACACGAGCAGAGCAGCCACAACAAACAACGTCAACAATGGAGCCGCCTATAAAAATCACATGCGAGCGTGTTTAATGGAGGCCCAGCCCACCGAAACTGAACCAGCACACAGGTTGTATGTATGTTGATCCATGCTCCTGACCAGGATAGGTCCACAGGTCAGAGCGGGGCTGCATGACTGCTGGCTGGTGGCATGTCCGTGGCAACTAATTTAAGCAACGCCGTTATAATTACAGCGTGTGCAGTGAGGGGCAGTAAAAGTGCTGGAAAATGATGCGCACGTGACATCCGGCAAGGCGTCACGACGGCCAGGTGGATTGCTGGCCAAGGGCTGGGTTGGCCAAGCCAAAAGGCACAAAGTGAAAAAATCTGCCAGCCAGCCAGCTAACTGACAACAACCGGATCAGCAGAGGACCAACAGCGGGAGCAGCTAGCACAAAGGCCAGCAAACGAGACATACAAGCCAAAAGCAAACAAAAGCCAAGTAACCAACTGCACTGCAGTCCTCTCCATCCACCTTCTAAGGGGAATCTTCTTTCTTTTTTTTTTAGAAAATTATGTGCTAGTCGCAAGACGCAGGCGGCTCATTTTCCATTTGTTAGCCAGATCACAGGAGCTAACAGGCAGTTGAGTACTCTGCTATGGACATAATGTGCAGCCAGGCCATGAAATTTTATACAAGTGTTTGAGGGGGCAGACTATCTACTATCCACTAAGGGAAGAAATCTTTAAAGAAAACCCCCTTGAAATCAGGTTCATGCAATCAGGTTATGAAGTTAGGGTATACAAACTTCGGTACAATATTGTGCTTTTGTAAAGGAAGCATGGGTTTGAAATGGGAATGAAAGCCTGGGCAGGTGCTCGAGAAAATTAGTCGCGCTTTTGCGCGCTCGTCGGAAAATAATAAAAACTGAAGTGTAAATTTACTTCCGCTGCAAAAATGTGGGCGAATGCTGACAGCTGCTGGTTTGGGCGTGGATGTAGGCGTGGGCATGCCCCAAAGCGTCGAGGTGGACGCTGCAACTTTTTCTAATTAAGCGTACGTGCGACTGTCAGCAACATCACGAGCCACGACCCCGGCTACGACTGAGGCAAAGACAGCGGCAAAAATGAAAGCGGGGAGTAGATTAGGGGCAGGAGCATGGACAGAGCAGCTAACTGCTAAGTTGTATAACTTATTGTCGTTGACAATTGTTTTAATTGAAAAGTACCAGTGCCTCTGAATATACATATGTATATATTTATGTATGTATGTGCGTGCGTGAGTGTGTGCTTGGGTGTGGGTAGGTTGGGTATGTATACACAGGTAGAGAATCCTCTTGAGCTGCTTAAGCCAACTTTAAGGCAACTCCCAGGCAATAACAATAACAATTCAATCAACGCTGCCGTCCGGCTAACAAATGCTGACTCATTTATTTGCCAGATGCCAGACAAGAGCGTACATCCATGAAATACTTGGCTGAGAGAAGCGCTGGCAACATTTGTAAGCATTTGTCTTGCCCCAAGGCGTTGTAGCTGGCGCTGCACAGGTCTCTGCCGTGGCCCACACTTGACTTTGCACGCTCTTTGCTGCCATTCGGCTGACCAGCTTGAGCTAACAAATGCTTAAATGCAACTTGAAGCAATAATTGAAGGCGTAGCTGCTGCCAGAGTTGCATTTGCAGTTGCCAGAGTAGCTGCAATTGTAATTGCTCTTGTTGCTGTTGTTGTTGTGGCAAGCCACGCTTCGATTAGCGCCGGTCGCATAACTCAAGACACGACTCAAAATCCATTTCCTGCCACGTCGTGGCGCAACATTGCACATTTATCAAGCTGGGGCGACACACACGGAGCTTAGCTGTGCATCATAAATATGCCTATACGCGATGCAAACGGTAGCCAAGTTTGGCACCCGTACTACCAGCCTGTGTCTGCAACTTTCTTAATTTTCGTTTGCCGTAAATTTACTCGGGCCAAGCCCACGCCAGCAAATCGCTCATACGACTTGCACCCGCCGCTACATTCTAAGATATCGCCGCCATATTGTTGTGCAACGCAGCGTCGCGGAAAATCGGTAAAGATGCCTCTTCAAGGCTTCGGAAAGTTTACCCTTTTTTCGAGCGCCTGGCTTCAGCTGGCGCCTACCTTAGTTTTGTCCGTGACTGCGACGGCTCAGTCACCGGTTTGAAGTTTTGCCAGGTTTGCGTGTTTTTAGTGTGATTTCCCGCTACCGTTGCCCCCGCGCCTACATTCAATTGAGATTTCCATTCGAAGTCGCGTCGTTTACTTTTCGATTCGTTTCGTTTTGCAGTCTGTAATTACGAGCTGGCGCTTTTGATGCTTACGGTTTAACTTTCAACAGCTGTAACTCCCACTTTTCCAATTCAGGCAGTTGGCTAAGTTTCCCTGTTGCCAATTGTCAGTTGCCAGTTGCAAGAGAACCAAAGCAAACCCTAAAACTTAGACATACGAGTGCATACAGACATTTATACTATATAATCGACATTGTCGATTGCCGCGTGTTTTTGGTTTTTGCACCAAAAGTTTCAGTTAGTTTTGTTTTGTTGGCATTTCTAATGCTTTGGAATAAGTTCTTGCTACTTTTTGATTGCGTTGCACTTCCAATTGCAATTGCGAAAAGATTGCATATTTGATTTGTGCTGATTTGCGTTCCTTGGCAACACTTTGCTTAGCAGCTCATTATGCGACTACGGAATTTTGTATGCATAAAAACCAGCAACAGGCTCTGGTCTGGTTCTAGAGCCAAAGTGAATTCTCAGCAAATGTAAATGTTTGCCGCTACTCCTTAGCCGCTCTTCGGCGGATCCTAATTAGAAAAGTTGCCTCATTCCCGGATTACGCGAGTGAGCGCTACCCTTGGCTTCCATTTTACATCTAGCTTCGTAGCGTCTATTAACGCAACATTGGCGTTAATAGAGTCCCAGCATTATTGAGAGTTTTACCAATGAGTTTGCCAGCAAGTTTAAAATTGTCAGCAAAAAAAAAGGGTTAAAAAATCAAGGCGCAAAATACGGTTCACTTAATTTGCATTTAATTACAAAGTTATACAAAGTCGCAAAAAAAAGAAAAATGGTCAAGTAAAGCGCATTAAATTAAGACCCCGCCTATCAAGCCCCCTTGACGGACTGTCAGACCGGCAGACAGACCGACAGCTGCTCAATAGCAGGTCAATAGCAGCGCAAATATTTGCACAAACTGGGAACTGAATGCTTAAAATGTGTAAGCCTTTCGATAAAATCCCATAAACACCTATAAATCCGTATTATTTTTATATGTTCCCGATGTGAAACATGTCGTTCTCTGAGAAATCTACTTTTCGACTTGCAGATACCCTCCAATGAGCTCTTAAGTAATCTTAAAATCTTAAATGCAGTCATCAAAGAAGTTGACTTCATAGTAAGGACAGATATTGTTTTTTAAAAGAATATTTATTTCTGTGAAGCCTGGGAAATAAATAAATGGGTTTGTCTTGCATCTGAGTGCATGGAATAAAGATACCTGGACATCCTACATGCATACCATATTCTTTCCCCATATTAATGAAAACAAGTGTAAAAACACTGCCCAGTTGATTTCCATTGCTCGTTTGCATTGAGAGATTAAAACCAGGTTGGTCTGTACGAAAAAATACCTTATAGCTGCAACACAAAACCAAACAAAAACGAGACCAACATGTAGGCTTTCTAGGGGGAAGACTACAAGAAATGGTTTTTAAATGTGCACGATCTGCAATTGATTATAAACCGAGTAAGTTGTTCGCGTTTTTTGCCCAAAATATTTGCTGGAATAGGTTTACTCAGCAGCTTCTCATAATTTCGCAATATACTTTTTCCTTCTTTTAGGGTTTCGCTGGCATATACTGAGCATATGCAAAATAAACAGCTGATGCGTGAGACTCCCAATAGCTAATAGAAAGCTGTGAATACAAGTAAACAGCTCAAGCGATTTGCAACGCCAGCTCAAAGCAAAAATCACAATGAGAATCTACAAGTAAGCTTGAAAAATGGCAAGTGAAAACATAAAATGCGCTTAAATATATATTGAAAAAGTTTTCATCGGCAAGCTTTGTGTTTGGACTTCTTATAAGAATTTAAAGCTCTTGCAAGGGAACTCGCGGGCTGTGCTGATGGCTTGTTAATGAAATGAATGATGCAACAGCAGCAGCAACAGCAATAATAAGGAGCAAAACACATTTCACAAATTAGCCTTAGCCACACAGCCCAATCCCCGCCAGCCACATTGCTCCACTCGACCCGTATTCCCTGCCGTCGCTCCGGGTTACTGTGCAAGTTCAAGTGACGTGCGTGAATTTGCGCATTTCGTGCACGTCCTGCCGCCGTGGTCCTGTGTCCGCGAGATTTTGAGAATTGCTTTGGCAAAATGAAAGCTATTAAATGGTTGCTTCAACAGCAGCTGCCCCATTCCGCCCCTAGCTCGGATGCCCGCTCTGTCGTATAAAATGAATATTTTTATGCTGCAACTTACGCAAAAGTTCCCCATTGAAGTTTTGATTGATAAATGTATTTTTATCGCGCTCGCTCTTGGTTTTTTTATGACGTGCCTGGGACGTGAGCAGCGTCAGAGTAGCGTCAAAGCGCTGTCTTACATTAACTTACTTACTTTTCAAATTATCTGGCCAACATGAGTGCTTTTTAATTACAAATGCCACGGAGCAGCTCGTCTTCTAGCTTGGCAAGCTTTCTGCTTATAACATAATACGAGTCCCTGTCGTCCTGTGAGCCACAAAGGCAGCAAGTGCATGATTAAATAAATTGGCATAAATTAAAAGAACATGTCGCCATGCCAACAATTAAATCAAAATTGTGGCTGCCAAAGCGGCCTGCTTTCTAAAAGAGTCGCTCTTACATTTGCTGTTGCTGTTGTTGTCTCATTGTTCCGGCCCTGGTTACATTAACGTCAATATAGTATAGACTGGATAAATACCCTATGTTGTTCCCTGCACGTAGTGAAATTGAAGTTTTATTAAACCTCAACGCATCAGCTATGTACATTGGATAACTTTTAATCCAATTAATACAGATTATTTTGTTATAGATATAGATAGTCAAGCTGAAAGCTAATTTAAATAATCCTAATTGTAATCTACATTGGTTCTTCGTGAAATATACCTCTTGCAGACATATAAAGGGGTGTAAACATGATAATTATGTCACCAAGGAAGTAAGGCACAGCGTCAGGCTCTGCAATGTACAGAGTACTCGGCGGAGAATATCTTTGAAGTATTTACGCTGGAGCGCGTTTTCCGTGCGTGAATACCCCTTTATGCAGGCATATGTTTAATGTCATTTGGACCGCAATTAGCAGTGTGCAGCAGTATTACAAATACTTAAACGCGAAAATCTTAATGCATAATACTAGAATTCAATTGAGGCTTTTTGCGTTGATACAACACAGTATGAGAATAAAACTGCATACCAAAATTTATTGAAAATATTTTTAGGTATACATACGTGCAGGAATGCGTGTTTAATATCGACGAGGCACAAGGCAATGATGCGTGGCCCAAATGGATTTTATTGTATAATGCAATAAAAGTAAAGTCTACTTTCGGGCTCCAGTTGTAGCGCCAATTGCGGCTGGGTAAAAACTTTTTTAATTGGCAGCGCTCGAAAATTGAACTCACGTTAAGCGTACAACAAACAGCAAACACAACTTTCCAACTGCACAGTTGGTGCATATAAATAAACAAAAATTTCATACAATAGAACAAGAAAGAGCGTAAAAAAGACATATCGAATATTGAATACTCTTGAAGACATATATGATATGATACTATGGGAGGTGTATATACAACTAGACTTGTTTCTATAAAAAACTTGTACCTTAGCTAAACAATCTTTTCAGCCTGTATATGCCTTGGGTATTCCAGATGACTCCTTTTATTTGTAATAATTTATTGTTATTATTTGAAAAACGGTCTCTTACTCAGTCTTTAATATATAATTCGTTTTCCAGTTCTGCCGCTTGCCAAAGTTCTCGGATTTTCCTTGGTTCAAAACTCCAAGCATATGCAGCAATGAATCAAACCACATTTCGCGAAGGTATACACACAGCATTTTTATTTAGCATTTATGCAATTCAATTTAGCGGAAGGCAAACAAATTTTTCGTAATGAACTAAAAGCCAAGCAAAT